TGATCTTGGACATTACAGTAAGAACTGTTTTGTGGAGTAGTCTGTTCTAAGTACATAAACCTGGAACACACATTGTCATGCACCTGAGGAAGTTCTACCCCTCCCAGGTTAGCACTTGAATCTTGAAGACATGGAATTATTTCAGGCAGCCTTTCTCCTCTCCTCTGTATCACTCTGCTGCTAATTACAGCTGCTAGAATCAGTGCTGCAGAAAAGCACTTTAATGTGACAGTGGACATGTGGGTTGGCTCTTATTTAGACTCCCAGGATGTTAAAGTCCGAATAAGTGTTCAGTGTTGGCTAACAAATTGTTAGATTTGTCTGCCTATTGTATTCTGTTTTGGTTTTTTTTTAAATCTTGCCTGCTTGTTTTAAAATAACAAAAACAATGGAAGATGAAATGTTGCTCAAAACCAGATTTCATGCTAAGACTAACTCCAGTCTAAACCATGAAAAGTGATTATTAGAACATGGTCAGTTTTTCCTCATGGAAAAGCAGATATATTTTCTAAATGTATACTGAAATGTAATTTACTCTTTCACTGACTACCTCCTGAAAATCACATCCTGTTTTAAATAACTTTGAAGTGTACAGCACAGATTTTTCTGTCTGTTAAGACTGGCTCCGAGTCCTGCATCTCCTCTTGAGTGTCACAAGATAGATTTCTGTGTGGTTTAGTGCTGAGGGATAGATCTATACAGATGATGAGCTTGGTCACAGCTGAATTCCTGAGCATAATTGGTCATATCTTTCTCCCACCCTTTGCCACAGAAAGCAGATATTTCCATGGTACCTTTCTCAAATGGTAAGAGCACTCTCACCCTTCCCACTGAGACAGGCAGTTTCATGGGGCTTTATTAGCTCCTATTGTGTTATTGGTTTCATGAACAAAAGAGGATTTGTTTAGAGATAAGTGGTGAAGCCAGTCTGAAAAAACTTGTGTTCCTGTTTCAGAGTTGTTATCTTTTTTCTAGGTGCAACACAGAGAGTGACTGGTATCAGATCCATGAAAATATCATTAAAAAGCTGAATGCACGTTACAACTTGACAGGCTCCAATGCAGGTGAGCAAGTTGCTATATTTCTGATTGTATTCTTAGGATGTTCTTAGTTTGCAAATGAAGTGGCTCTATTTTAGAAGGACTAATGTCTATGAAATAAATGTTTTTTTACATAGAGAAAAATACTTGTGTTAGGTGAAAATGTATGATATTGCTGTTCATGTGCACATTTAGAAAAAAGTCACTGAATTTTCTTCAAGGAGCTACGCAGTTTTATTCTGCGCTGAGGAGCTACAGTTTGATGTGGAGTTAAGGTCACATGTGGGGCTGGTCAAATTACTGATCCGTGTTGCTTGACGTTTCTGCTTCACTTTTTCATTAGAAATATAAAATTTACTATTGACATTGTATATTAATTAAACTTAATGAAAAAATGAAATGGGAGCTACCAGTGCTATTGGCCAGCTGAGCAAGATGCAGAGTTGATATTTAAGAACTTGCCAACAGTCCTCCATAGTCAGCTATATGTCACTGTAACTGTCATCAAAATAAATTCGGGTGTGAGACTTAAGAAATGGGAGACAGCTGACCTTTGTTATAGTGAGATGGTGGTTTGACCCATAGGATATGTTGGATTTGCTTTTTTTTTGTTGTTTGTTTTTTTTAATACCAACTTGTTAACTTTTTCTGAATGCTGTCATCCAGGGATGGAGTCAAACTTAAAATGAAACCTGAAATGGAAGCTTATGAGTCTATTTTCCTTGTGTTCAAATATTGTTTTGTCCTTGTGAAAATATGACTATAGAAAAATCTGACCAACTAATTTTCCAGGTTGTACTATAATTGTAATCCCTTTCATGTAGTAGACTTCATGCTCTTTTAACTTGGTTTCAAGCATAATGATTGATTATCTTGAAAATGTACATTCAACAATCTTCAGTGATAACCAAGAAGCACATAGAAAGCTTATAACTTCAGTCTTGATAAGTAACATATATTTAACCATTTCTAATACTGTTATTTTCTCACATAGAGTCTAGCCACATATATACATATATTTAAGGTTTAGAATATCATGCATCTTATTGGACAATAAATATAAAAATCATGCAGTGAAAATACAAGAGCACATTACTGAGTAAATATAATGTTGGGCTTCTTAAATATGTTAACCATATTCATGAAGAACAACCTGCTCTTGGTCATTCTGACTGTCCATGTGATACCTGCTTACTCTGTGATATATCCTTATCCTATTCCATTCTTATGAAATAAGAGTTCACAGTTAAATACCCAGTTGTCCTAGGAGGCATTGGATAAATTTGAATACTCTTAATTATGTGAATATTCAACATGAAAGGCGTGTGGGACATGATTTTTTTTCCAGGTTACAGGGGACTGGAAACTAAAGCTAGCAAACTGAAGATCAGTTACATTAAGTTTTGTCAGGGGAGAGAGGCAGAGAGAAGAGCAGCACAGAATTCCAGTAGTGCATATGAAGGTTAAGAGGGGAAGAAGCAGTGAGCAGTAATGCCACTTTGAGTACTGAGCAACTAAAAGATAAACTATGAAAGGTTATTTACATTGCACATATGAAATTTGTTCCTGTGTGACTGCTTAGCAGCCTGAAAAAGCACTTGCAAGGCTTTAGCAGTACATTCAGATACTTCTGCTGACACCTCATGGAAAATATTGTTGTTGTGCTAGTTTGTATCTTTCTTTTGCTGTCTCTTTCTCTAACACTATTGAATGGCTGGTTCTGAAGCCTCATTAGCCTTGTCTGCCACCTTATAGTTGTCAAAAAAGGAGAAAATCTTGCATTACAGGAGATAGGGGTCTTTTCTGTCTCTTAGGAACCGTTGCAGGTATGAGCCAAATATAGGAAACCTTGAATTTTTGATTTATATCGCACTTGCTCTTTTTAAATCATGTTAAAAAGACGTAAGAAAGGAGACATGGTAAACAAACAACAGCAAAGATGCTTCAGACCATTGTCTATGCTCTAGGCTTGTTCTCTCTTCAGATTCTGTCCTGTACAGTTTCTTTCAGCTCAGGAGATTTTCACACAAAGTCTTTAGTTTCCGCAAATTATGTCCCACTGCTGAAATAGTTTGAGATAATTCATAATATTCTTCAGAAAAAAAATTCTTCCAGTTTTCTGGGGAAAACTGAAAAGGAACTCAAAACGTACTTTGTCTTGCGTGTAAAACACATATTGTCTATATGTTATTGACTATAACATTATTGACTATAACATTTGTATATAGCATTCAAACCCCCACTCCCCACTACTACTGAAGTAGTTTTCCACTTCAACTCATGATAATTCTTATGTACAGAATCCTCTTGCATCTTATTCTCAGCTTCTGTCTAAAAAAGATCCAATAAAGGCAAACGACTGTCACTTCTTAATACAGCCCAGAAAGGAGCAGGGGACAGACATTCATCCCCTTTCCTCTTCTCAGTGGATGCAGGAATGGAAGGACTCAGTCTCATGGATAATTTAGCATCATTTGGCTGGAGTGGGAACTGGAATGCGTTTTCTGCATGAATTTCTAGCATTAACAAAGGGTAGAGTAGCAAGTAGTGCATCGAATTCCTATACACCACTAGTCTTTGTAGCTGGTGTCAGGTATCAGCTTACTGGAAGACACCTGGTTGCTCAGTGCAGGAGATCAAACCATTAATGCAATGACCAAATTGTACAGCCTTTGCTGCATTTAGTAGCATTGTTATTTCTTACATTGAGTTTGTAGTATTTGTAGAATAAGTACTATTAGATCTAGATGATTTCTTAATTATTAGGCAAACCAGGTTTCAGTAATATCTGGAGTGGAGCTGGCTATAAAAACTATTTTTCTTATAATTTTTTCTTAGAATTAGAAGCTAGTTACATTGATTTAAAATGCAAAAATCTGTGGAAAAATGAATATTCCTGCATAGAGATCACACCTAATTACATCAGTCTTACAAGTCAAATAACACATTTCTATTCCTTTATCTGTAGGACCAGAGATCAGTGAAATGTATACTACAGATACAGAAAACAGTTACTGGCTTATCTCAAACCATATAAAATAATCCTTTATTCCCTTATAGTATATTTTAGATAGTGAAGCCTAGCCAAAGTCAGTGCTTTCATGTCAAAGCTCAGGCTTCTGTAAAATGTCAAAATCTTTGTAGTGTTTGCAGTGTGGGTCATAGTTGCAGATCTTATTCTTTGGGTGTGACTGTGAAGCTATACTCTGGACCTTTCTTGGGGCTACAATAAACAAAGTATTGGATGTGGGCTGCTTTTCTCTTTAATAAAGCAGGCACTAATGCACGAAGTGCCTTGTAAACTGTTATTGATCATATAGCTGCTTCATTTGCCCACAGAATTACTGTCCTACCAATGAACCTGTTGATTTTAAGAATGGTTTGAAGTGCATTTTAGGACAAGGGGCAAGAAAACGAGGCCAAATCTGGTTGTCAATAAACATGGTTTTATACCAAAATAAAGACATACAAATCAGAGAATGCAACTCCAATTCTACATCCTTACGCAGAGTCATGGATTTCTTTTGTTCTTCTGATTTTTAGTATGAATTTATCACATGCAACTTTATATTCTTGCCTATGACACTACTTTTTTTTTTCCCCTTCCAGTTCTTCAGACTTTCAAAAGTTGAAATGTAACTTTTTTAATACGGCACATGATGATGGAAGGAATGTCTAGTAATTGGAGCAGTCTTTTATGTCTAGTGTTTGGAGCAGTCCTTTGGGCTCTGAAGGTAGAGGGTTCTTGTCCACAAAAATTACCCATTTACGACTATGAGCAAGTTACACAGTTAAACAGTGATGGTTCTTACTGTAATCCCTACTTAAACACCATCAGCATCTTCAGAGTACCTCCTTAGGCACAAGATCTTCCTGTAGGCACCTAAAGCTAAGGTAGCTTTCATTTCCACCACTGCTTGAACTTGAGAACAGGTGGGTACCTGGGTGCATCCAGGACAGTCAGGATACGAGTAGGCTAAATTTAGCTTCCTGAGCACTAGGCTGGAAAAAAAAAAAAAAATGCTGGAAATGGTTGCTGTCACTCTTGTGCTGTTTCAGGGAATATATAAATATTCACTGGGTTTACTATAGAAATAATTTACTCCAGTGTTTGAGACATTCTTCAAAGACAGAAAATGTCTCAGTTCAGATTCTGATTTGGAAAAGGATTTTCAGTCTCTCGCATGTCCCAGATGAGCATGCTAATCACTTGGCTTCTCAGACTTCCCCGCAGCAACTATTCAACTTTGTATACAGTCAGAAAATATTCATTATACCATGGGGAAAGTGCAAGTGGCTCTAAAGCCTGCCAAGCAGCACATGATTTTCCTAAGTGTGATCTGTATTCATGTCCTCTTAGCAAATCCTATAAAAGAGAGATTCAAACCTTGGTCTTGTGTTAGATGTGAATATTCTCCCCAATGAGTTATCTGATAAAAAGCATATTAAAAAATTGATGAAAAATGCACTCCAACTTCTTTCTTTGCCCTCCTTTGAGAAGAAAGACTGGATGGCTTATTTTAGTCTGGATCCAAATGCAAGCTTTGGACTCTTGTGTGGATTGCATTAAAATAGTGAATGTAGTGGGAAGGTCTTTTCTGTGCCATTATCTTGGCATGCTCTGATGAAGTAGACAAAAGTGATGTAACCTAATTGCATGTTTACCGAATGCAGTGTAGTAGCAATGCCAAACCTACATTGCAACTCCACTGGAAACACTGTTAATTGTATGTTAACTTTAATTGATGGGAGGGCCTTAAGCTTTAGAGGAAACATTCCACAATGGTGGGATTTCTCTTGCCACTCCTGACTTGAGCTTTTTTTTTTTTTAATATGGTGGCAGTGTTAATTTTTTAGCTGTTACATAGGGGATCAAAATACAGCTCTTGAGAAATCTACATAAATCATATCCTCTTGCATGCAGTTTATGTCATAAAAAGAAAAAAAAAAGTCAGAAATCACTATGTTGTATCTGGTAGCTGGCAGGAATGTGAATTTTTAATTATGGTGGAGGCAAGACCTGA